CAGGACTGCAGGGGACTAGGGGGGCACAGTGCATGGGAAGGTGACGTTGGGGCCCTGCTGTGTCCCTGGGTGCTGCTGCACATGCCATGGGGGGTACATGGCGTGGGGTGAGCAGGGTGTGGTGCATGTGGAGCTGGTGCCGGTACGTGTGCCAACGTGTGTGCCAACGCGTGTGCCATGGCAGGGGGGGTGCCCAGCGAGGCCCGGCAGTGCGACTACACCGGCCTCTACTACTGCAGCAGCTGCCACTGGAATGACCTGGCCGTCGTGCCCGCCCGTGCCATCCACAACTGGGACTTCGAGCCCCGCAAGGTGCCTCTGGAGCAGAGCAGGGGCTTGGGGGCACCCAGGATCCTGGGGGGTCACCTGGGGAGGCTGTGTTGGTGGGCAGAGGTCACTTAGAGATCCGGGTCCCTGGGCATGAGGGTCCCTGGAGGCTGCATCCTTGGGTGGAGATCACTTGTGGGGGGTGTCTTGACCCCAGGGCTGTGTCCCTGTCAGTGGGGTCCCAGGGTAGTGGTGCTGAGGGTCCCCAGAGGGTTGTGGCGGTGGGGACGGCCCAGTGCCCACCGGGTGACAGCATCCCCGGGCACGGGGTGACGGCTGTGGGTTGGCAGGTGTCGCGCTGCAGCATGCGGTACCTGGCGCTGATGGTGTCGCGGCCCGTGCTGAAGCTGCGGGAGATCAACCCACTGCTCTTCAACTACGTGGAGGAGCTGGTGGAGATCCGGGTGAGTGGGTGTGTGTGTGGGTGGGGCACACACGTGCAGGGGGGAACCCCACCTGGGCAGGGCGGGCGGCTGGGAACAGTGTAGTAGAGGGAGTGTGGGGCGAGCGGGGAGGGAGATGGGGACCCCGGCAGCACCCACTGGGTCCCATAAAGGGGGAGCAGGGGAAGGGGTAGGGGTCAGGATGCCCAAAACACTATGGGGCTGAACTTGACCCAGCCTGACCTTGTATTTGTCACATCCCTGTCTCCATCCTGTCCTCAACCTGTCCCCATCCCAATCCTCATCCCATTCCCACACCGTACCCATTTCATCCCCATCCCTCTCCCCATTCTGCTCCTGCCACCACCCTTTTATCTGTCATGGTCCCATTCCTATCATATTCCTGTCCCATCCTGTCCCCCTGCAGAAGCTGCGCCAGGACATCCTGCTCATGAAGCCCTACTTCATCACCTGCAAGGAGGCGATGGAGGCACGGCTGCTGCTGCAGGTCAGGCCCCGTGCAGGCGGCCAAGCTCGGGGGGGAACCGTGGGGCCCCGGGGCTGGGCACGGCAGTGACGACGGGCTGTCCCCCTGCAGCTGCAGGACCGGCAGCACTTTGTGGAGAACGACGAGATGTACTCGCTGCAGGACCTGATCGACATCGAAGCCGGGCGCCTGAGCTGCTCCCTGACGGAGATCCACACCCTCTTCGCCAAGCACATCAAGCTGGACTGCGAGGTGAGCTCGTGCCGTGGGGCAGGCTCAGCCATCACCCATGGTGTGGCTCCTGTGGGGCCAGTGCCGTTCAAGGCAGGGGGTGCTGTCAGGGTCCCCCCACCGTGCACCATGGGGACCCTCTGCCCGTTCTCCCCCCAAACCCAGCGCTGCCAGGCGAAAGGCTTCGTCTGCGAGCTCTGCAAAGAGGGCGACGTGCTCTTCCCCTTCGACAGCCACACCTCCGTCTGCACCGACTGCTCCGCCGTCTTCCACAGGTACGGCACGCACCGGGGACCGCCACCTTCCGCCGGTGTGGCACCGGGGTGGGGGGACACGGCTGGTGCCGGGGCCAGTGGGGGTGACCCAGCACCGTCATCCCCTCCCTGCAGGGACTGCTACTACGACAACTCCACCACCTGCCCCAAGTGCGCCCGGCTCAGCCTGCGCAAGCAATCCCTCTTCCAGGACTCTGGCACCGAGGCAGACCCCTAAGGAGATGAAAGTGGGGGGGTCTCCAGCCCCACGGCTGCCCCTCCCCACACACACACCCCCGCCATGGGGCCCTGGGATGGACACGGGCAACGCCGTGGCCGTTTGGGGTCTGGGTTGGTGTCCTCTGCCTGCGAGGACACCAGACGTGGCGGGGAGGGGGGGGTCGGTGCTGGACCCCAGCCTCTGGGGGGCAGGGGTATGGGCAGGGGTGCGGTGCTCTGCTGCCTGCATCCGTGGGGCACGGGCGAGGGCACCGGGCACGCTGGAGGGCGATCACACCGGGGCTGGGTGGAGGAGCCCCCCCTCTCCCCAAACGCCTCTCGCCCTCTATTTGGGGAGGGTATCGGGAGGGTGGGAGGCAGGAGCCGGGGATGAGGCCACCCCCCCACTCACCCCCACACACTACTGGGATAACGCTGCTGATTCTAGGGGAAAACACCCAGTTCTCCG